GTGTGGTCTTGAGGGGTCCTGGTGGGGACTTGGGGGGTCCTGGTGGGGACTTTGAGGGTCCTGGGAGTGACCTTGGGGGTTTCAGTGGGGCTTCAGGGGTCCCAGTGAGGGTTTTGGGGGTCTTGGCAGTGACCCTGGGGGTCCCAGTGGGGCTCTGGGGGTCCCTGGCAGGGTTCCTGCTGGTGCTGAGCCCCTGTCCCCACAGTACTACGATGGCACCTTCCCCACAGCCAAGGAGCAGGTGACCTTTGAGAGGAACATCTTCAGGAAGACCCACCAGGCAGGTGGTGAGTTGGAGGGGTGGGATGTCTCACTGAGGGGCTTTTGCCATCACGGGGGGCACCAGGGTTTAAGAGCAACGTCCCCTCTGGCCCCATCCCAGGGGACACCAACACCCTGTGTGTGTCCCCCCCCTCCCCGTGCAGGTGAGATCACCAGCCTGGAAGGACTCACCATTGTCTACAGGAGCAGCGTGGACCTCTTCTTCTACGTGGTGGGGGGCTGCCAGGAGAACGAGGTAAGCCATGGGGAGGGGTCCCAGCCCTGAAGACCCCTCCCCGTGACCCCTCTGATGTCCCCATGGCCCCTGCTGTCCCCCAGCTGATGCTGTTTGCTGTGCTCACCTGCCTCCTGGATGCCCTCGGCCACCTCCTGCGGTGAGTCCCTGCCCCCCCAGGTGGGGAAACTGAGGCAGAACGGGTTGGGGGGGGTGGTCCTGCACCTCGCACAGGCCCCCAGGCTGTGACCAGGACTGGGTGAGGTGACATTATCTCCCCAGGAAGGAGGTGGAGAAGCGCTGCCTGCTGGACAACATGGAGGGGACGTTCCTGGTGGTGGATGAGATCGTGGATAAGGGGTGAGGGGGTGACGTGGTTCCCCTGGGTGCTGGGAAGGGGCTGGCCCCAGCTCAGGGTGATGAGGGGGTGCTGGGGACCCCATTTTGGGGGTTGAGGGTCTTGGATGGGGGGGTGACAGCTCCTTGCTGCTCCCCCAGGGTGATCCTGGAGAGCGACCCCCAGCAGGTGATCCAGCGGCTCAGCCTGCGGGTGAGTGTGACCACCCCCCCATGGCCTCTGCCCCCTCCTCTGCCTCTCCCCCTCCTCAGCCTCTTTCCTCCCCCCCCCCTCAGGTCCCAGAACCAGCTCCCTATGGATTCGTCCTCTTCGACTACCTGGCAGGTGGCTCAGAACGGGGGGACCCTGGTGGCCACAAATAGGCAGCTCCCAGGAGCTCCAACCCCTTCCCTGTGCCAGGGAATCCGGCTGGGAATTGGGGTGGGGGGATCCTCGTGGGTGACAGGAGGGGATGGGCCCCACCTCGGGGTACCCAGCAGGTCCCCTTCCCTCCCCCAGGTTGATGCCAACCCTCTGTGTCCCAGGTAAGCACCCAGCAGGAGGGAGATGGGACACACACCCTGGGGTCCCTGTCACCCCGGCACAGGGTCCTACACCCCAATAATTGCTCAGCACGAGGTGTGACCCCCCCCAGTCCCCCTCAACTCCAGCCAAGGGAACCCAGGTGTCTGGCCAGGAAGGGCACCCCAAGGTCCCATCCCTGGGGTCTCATCCCAGGTCCTGCAGCCCCACCAAGGAGCACATCAAGCCATTCCCACTGACCCGGCAGCTCTGGGATCTCCCCTCGGAGGAGCTGAACGGGATCCCAGGGCTGGGGGACACTGGGTGGGCAGGACACACGGACCTTCCCTGGCATCCCCCCACTCTGACCCCAGCTGAGACCCCTGGGCCAGCTCATCCCCAGCCATGTCACCTCCAGAAGCCCCTTGCCAGCTCTCAGATCCTCTCCAAGCATTAATATTCCCCAGGGGAAAAAGAACCCCTACCAAAGAGGAGCCGATTCCCTGTTCCTGCTCACTCTGGCCACAGCTGGTTACAAATAAAAGTCTTCCTCCCTGCCTGGGTGTCCTCCCTCCATCAGCCACGTCGGGTGGTGGGTTCCCATGGGTGTGTGACCCACCTGAGCCGGGCTCCGGGGGCTCCCACTCCTCCACGTGCTCCTTTTGGAGGCAAAGAAACCATTACTGTGTTTTTCTGTAAAAAAAAAACCACCCCA